ATGAGTAATCGCGAGCAGGCGCCCAACTATCCGCTACGGAATGACGCGCCGTTTAACACGGCCTTTTCAGACAAATTTACTTCAAGTTAGCATTTAACTTCTAAGGAAATTAAAAACAAAATACCCCACAAAATCCCGATTCTCAAAACCCTACTTCTAGACGAGAGACCACTTGATTCAAAAAATCAGCTGGCTCGTCTGGATCCTTCCTTGACTTGTATCACACATACTAAACTACCCTCAAAATACTGTATGATTTCATTTCCGCTACAGCTGTTGACTTCATAGGAAAGCCGTAGGAAGCATCCCTTAAAACCTACAAAGCTCCAATACCATAATTAGATTGAGTCGTCTGTACCCCTCAGCGGAATCCTTCACTGCCTTATTTACTCTGCGGTACCGAGCTTAATCGAGGGCAGGTCACATTAATTTAAGGAAGACTACACATTCTCAGTTCAAAAAGGTCAGGCAATCGACGAGAAAATTTGTAAACTAAGTATGCCTTACCAGCTCCTGGACAAATTTATCTGCACAACTTTTTCCACCGCACCTTCAATGAGTATAGTAATCAGTGCTAGTACTAGTAACAGGCCAGACTTGGGAACATTTTTGTGCGAGCCGGCAGTCACACTGATCACACAAGTATGATAAAGCAAGTGAGACAGTTTACGGTGTATCGGCATATGTAAAAAAGAGGATGCATTCACAAAGGGTTGCAGCAGTACCGGCGGTTGGCTGTCATACGCGGCAGCCATTTTTTAAAATGTTTTATTTTTTACATCCCCTGTCCTCGTATCAACCGTCGGCTTCGCTAAAATATGCCTTAGAAGGCAACGTCGAGTCAAAACTTCTGTACCACTCTAAATTCCTGGTGTCCTCCGTATTATTTATTTTCCAGAATCCCGTCGGTCTAAAAAGGTCGCGCTAGCCCTGTACCCGACCAGCGTTGGTACTGTCAAAACCCGTTGATTGGGTCTGCTCTGTGGAATTTCATAAAAAATGGCAACGATTTCTTGTGCGACCCTCGTAACGCGGCAACGAATGCTAACCCAAATGAACACAATGGATGGCGTTAAGGTTGAGAGGTAAAGTGAAGGCTAGACCGGTGTGCACTGTGGTCAAATTCAGCGCCAAAACAAACGGCCCACTTGATCGATGGCGGTGGATTTATGTATAATTTTCTGTGTTTTCGTCCTTCAAACTGTCCTGTCCCTATTGCCACCGTTCCAGTTTTACATGACTACCCATCTAGTGTTCATTAAGGGG